CATGATGAATAAATCTCAGGCGTGAACTCATTATTATCTTTTCATTTGGGAAGTGGTTATATTGTAGCTTTATCATTTTTATATATAGATTATATTGTTGCTACCGCTATTTCTGTTGATAAAATGAAATGTAAAGATTTTCCAGCTACTTGCGTAATGAAACAAACGGGATGTAGCAAGTCACGTCAAACTAAATATTCTCTCCTCTATCGAACTCAGCCTAAAAATAAGTCTGTCCCAATTAAAGACCCTATTGCAAAGATATGATTACTGAGCTTGGATTGCACACTAGTTAGTTAACTCTTCGCTCTTGCAGGATTTTTGCATTTAAAAAACAAAGTTTACTAATTTAGGTCGGCTGGAAATTGTCACCGGTTTTGAAATCACAGAAAAATAATTTGGGATGATCAAAAAAGATAACAAAGTCCGCTCTTTATCAGTCCCCTAGGTAGTTGGCAAATGCAGACTGCCTATTTCCGGAATAAAGAAACAAAAAATATTGCATTCAAACGAGTGAAAATGAAGACAGAGGATAGAGCAACTTGTGCAGCTTTTCATTCTTAGTTAGAATTATCAGCAATACGTGTCCAACAAAATTCCGGGAAGGCGCTAAGCCCTAACCACACCGTTGTTTGTTGCCGGGTGATTGTCTTCAAACTACTAATTAGCAAGCGCTGGCAACCAGACTCCTTGTAATTTCGTGGGATGTGCACTGCTGAGGCATTTCAATAAAAGGAAAACGGTTACAAGAAGGTTCTCAGCTTTTCAGCAATGACGGGCTTTACTTACGAGAAGAAATCTTTCATAATCCCGAAAAAGTTCGCAACAACAAAAATGTTCATTTTTGTATTAGCATGAAAGCATTGTAGAAGCTCTAGCAAGCTTGTATGTTATGGTCGTAAAAATGGCCATAACTTATTGGAATACCCCCGAATAAACAAGGGATCAAACTCAGCACTTTGCTAAAGGATAAGAAGCCGAGGTGCGCATGTCTGGTTTGGTTGGTCGCTTCGCCATCGCATTTGGTGGCCTGATAATGTCCGCTTACAAGTCACGCACATAACACTGAGGTATCCAAAGCTCTTATAGTTGAAGTTCGTCACTTAAACACTTGGGATCCTGGTTAGCCTCACAATTCTTGTTGATGTCTTCACTTAAGGAGAAATTGTGGCTAAATTTCGTCGTTATTGTAGACAGCTATCTCTATTTGTGTCCCAATGACTGGGTTTACTTAAATTTTTACATCCATCAAACGACGGCGCTTCTGCATTTCAAAGCATTTCAAAACAGGGCCACATATTACAGTTTAAATTAGATGGCGTGGTCTTTGAATGTATCAGACGGACTTGTCTCCAGTCACGCCGATGATATATCTCAATCCAACTGGTCAAACCAAGGCATCGTCTCGCCACATAAATCAGATTAAATGTTACGTTATTATTTTGTTCGAAAATATCTTGACCAACAGTGACCCCACACCAGTGAAAGCTGAAAATATGATAAACGTGTGAATATACCAGGTTTATGAACCATTCATAGTCGTGCCTGGGCACTGACGAACCGCATTTTCCCAGTATATGTTCTAAACTAATTGCCAACGTTATACGTTGAGGATAGCAGCAAATAATTCCGGTGTCATTTTCTTAGGATCATTTTGAGGAATTTCGTAACAGGTATGAAACAACAGAAAATAAGTCTGCTTTGTTTGATATGTTCAACACCCTTTTTGTAAGCTCTTTTTTAAGCACCCATTTGCCTGTTGTTTGTATTAACATTTGCATTCCGTTTCCCTTCATTTCTCCGGTCAATTATTTCCTTTCGCGCACATACGCCCTCATATTCTTGATCTGGAAATTAATCATGTTCTGCTATTTACCACAATGTTAAATAATCCTTCACTTTGACGTTGTCAGTTTGAATTGATAACGACAATTGGACTCCGAAGATATGTAGTCCAGTGTTAAAATTCGGTGCATTTGCTAGTCCGTACTTACTCTTTTGTGAAGGACCCAAATTTTGAATCAAAGTTAATTAACCCACCATTTATGAACCTGTATAATTGCACGATCTAAAGTAAGCACCTAGTTGCCGTGTTTACGTTGCATTCACTTATCCGCTGTTTACATGTTTCACATAACGTTACATCCTTATTGATGGGTTTAGTCACTAATTCCAGGTTTTACGTGCCACTAAGCCTGTTATTGTTGCCATTGTTGGCAACCGCGCTTGGTTTATACGGGAGTGACACTAAAACCAGCATTACAATTAGCCCATGGATTCAAAATGGGCTTATGCGATGTCGGCAGTTTATCCCTCAACCAGAAGGATAGGTATGCGCGGTATCGCTATATTTTCTGAGACAACAAGCTGCTTATATGTACTTCGTACATAGAGGAATTCGGAAGGAAATTAAACTGGTTAGGAGTGTCCCAAATTCATTACTTCACGTTAAAATCCAACAAGATTTGGCACGTGCATTTTTGAACCAGAAACCAAGGAGTGACCTTACGGTCAAACCCTAGATAAACGGCCTAGCTTTGCAGTGCTTGGCTCTAACCCCACTAAACCACCAGGCCACAAACTCTCGTTGGTCTATTAGCTGATTATCATGGCTTCTATATGGAAGAATCTGTTGGTCTCTTGAGGCAGTTCAAACGGCATTTTAATTATTGAAATACCTACCTACTCTCAAGTGCGGATAGTAGTACAATAGTACGCTTCAACTTCGTGATTCACACATAGGAGAAAATGGTTAGAAAACTTTGGCTTTTATTTGGCTGATTGAGCTTCACGAGTAGTATGGAACTAATTAGGTGGCAATATATTTGCACCCTGTGAGCTGATCTCTATAAAGTAGTAAAGCAACGATTCCCTTTGTACCAAGATGCACAAATTTGTCTTTGTAAGTACCCTAATGAATATGGGCTTAAAAAGTGTCAGCAGAGTCCGCAATCCAAATTTCTATTCAGTCACAATGTGGATCATAGCAGATGGCCTGTCCTGGTAGATGTGAACCAGTGACGGCGCAGAGAGCCTGTCCCCAATCCAAACACAAAGGAATCTACATTTTTCCCTTGACTCTATTTTTTATCTCAACTGAGATCTTTTCCGGCAGGTAACGCCCCATTTGTCTATTAACTGGAATGTTTGCTACTATATGAGATCCTTTTTTCACTGGCTCCAAGGTGTATTGCGCAAGAGATTTCAAAGGACAAAAATTTTGCACAGAGGCTATTTGGCATAATAAACTGCCTGTTATATCCGTTTCGGAATGATTCCTGGCTACCGTATAGCCTAGTAAATGTTCGGTATATGTACACATTTCCCATTGAGCTCTGGTACTCTAAGTGAGGTCCGAGTCGAAAAGCAGAGAAAGACCGTGTAACTGTTTAATCCACTTTGAGAATTGTCAACAGTATGCACCATGCGAACCTTCAGATATGTTCGTATTCGCTTGTGGCTGGGGGATAAACGGTTTAGCCGCGAGTTGTTGATAAGGAATGTGGATACCTCACACTTAAACGGGATAATCACTACTCGTCATTCAACTACGGAATTCACACCATGTGCCCATGAAAGGAGTGAATTTTCTGGTGTGCACTCGCTAAAATGTTCATCCGACTTGTGAATTATTGTTGCCACAGCTACTAGGAAATGCATAACATTATAAGGGTTTTTTTTAGTTTTGACTGGCTTTCATCGTATCCTTCCGTATTAGTTACTCAATTTATCGATAGTTTACATGACGAGTGAACTTTAGAATTTGAATTCGGCACTCAGAGAGTCACTTCAATCGACATCACGTGATTTCAATCCCATGGTTTAAGTATGAATGATGTTATATCCTGGCCAAATAAGAGACCATTAACCTGCCAATCACCACCTTGTGGTCAAATTTCTAGTCTTCACCTACTAATCTGAAGGCCGTTGGGTTGAGTCATCGTGGAAATTTGTGAAATGCGCACTATTGATGATTTACAACTAGAGCAAAACAGTTATAGAGCTGTCTACTCGACACAGACTGATTCCACTTACGGGATGATAACTCAGCTAATTGATTCCAAACCTCATAGTACGTTCTGTATTCATAGTACAGATCCGTCCGTCCTCATAGTACCACTTGTACGTACTGCTAATTGAGTCAGTTCCTGACATTCTCTAAATGTCACGACCAAGATAACATTCAATATATTATGCAGTATGTTGGTCAAAGAAGAAATCTTGAAATCATGGATTAATAACATCCCCTTGTTTTTTGTAGAAAACTATTTATTAGAAGCCACACAAATGTTACACAGCTAGCACTCGCGGCGGTGCTCTACGTGACTGTAGAACAATCATCTGTGATAAATATGTTACATTAGGAAACACTGTCAATACCGTCACACTGGTCAGAATGTTCTTCTCAGTTGGTTGTCGATCTGTTCGACGAGGTTGGCAACTGAAATGCAAACATTTCTTCACTATACGATGAGACAGTCTCAAATTTGTGCAGCCTATATAGACAGAAAACTTCAAGTGACCAAGTCTGTTATGTTCCATTTAGCCATTCAAAATATTTTTGTATCTTTTTACCTCATCATACCCACATGCTATGATGAGACATCATTATGGAATCTGATTACAATGTGACACCACGCGTTCGCGAAGAAAGCTACGAGCTCTTTGAAGTACTCCAGGGTTCGGAATTTGCGCTAATTGGAACTGATATTCGAAATGCACTTCTGTTTTTGAATTCCGACTTTTGCAGACGAGCATTCACCACATAATCTTTTCTACCAGTTATTTCATGCTGTTTAGCTTACGCATGAATTGACCAGGTATTATCACTAAAAACTTGTAAGTCAGGAATTCAAAAGTCTAAGCACTGGGTTGGTGGCTGTCCATTTCGCGCAGCGATTAGCCAGGCGATCTCCGAAATTTGGTTAAACAATTACATCGACCAAGTCAGTAAAATCCACCGTACGTAAGACAGTCATTTAGTTGTATTCTCATATGGGTCACAGATCTGTGATGTTGGGTTGTTTGGGCTTCCGTAAATTACATGCATCCGATCCGACAGTCTCCTGTATTTCTGGGAAACCCAAAAATACTTGCATGTTTGGCTCACCACTTTGCAGGCAAAAACACACACGTGTATCTGGGTGTTGAAATCTAAGTCCATGATTGAACGGCCGCTTAATCATCCAAAAAGAGTACAATAAAAATGCACCTTTTCCTAACATGCTGCTGGGCTTCAACAGGTAAAACACCTCAATGAGAGGTGATATGTTTCAAACTAATGACACACTGTACTGTAAAATGGCCGAGTGCCCTTCAGCTCCACTAGTAGGAGAGCAGTGCTTGACACAACATAACGCTACCTGTGTAGGAGCGTGTTTGCTGCAGTCTCACGAAAGCTTCAGTAGGTTTAGCTTATCAAAAGAAGTTTCAATTTGTCCGTGATTAACGGGGTTTCTGTAAGTTTATTTGGTAGAAATAATCAGATAACATCTTTGCGCATTCGGCATTCATGCAGGATCATGAAATATGCAGGAAATAAAACACTGTACCTCCTGGAGTGTCAGTCATCGTGGAGTATTTACGCATGGCTCTGAGTTGATTCTTGTGGTAGATGAAGCCGATCTATGTTAAAAAACCAAGAAACACTGTACATCTGTTTTATCCAAGCAGAGAACTATCACTGCTGCGCGTATACTACTGCAGCTGGTCGTTCTAGGATCTAGTCAACACAAGACTAATGAAATAGATGTTTTTGCGCTGAGAAAATGTAATTAGCACCGCGGAAAGCAAATAAAATTCTGTTGTTGCTTTGAACAAAACTATCCGGCACGTTACCTGATATTCTATCAATAAATGTAAAGCAACTGAACCACAACACAGAGTTGTGGTAGCACATTTTGCCCAGCCCATGCGTTCATTTTATGTGGATGAAGTCTACTATCCAAACTATTTGCAAACATGAAAAATGTGTGCATGTTCCCCCCACCGAATACCCAGCTGGGAGGTAGTAGTATTATTCAGAAACCGCTCGCGGTAGGTTTAAATAACCGTACATTGTCTGGTTCCACAGTTTTATCAACACTGTGTAAATCTATAAAAAAAAGCCGACCATCTGCAGCAAGGTGCTCCAATGGCGAATGGCTTCTTCGTCCCTATTGTGAAAATTGATTGACATGGGCGTTCTGACCGAGAGTGATGAATTCGTTTTTACCGTGATACCAACTGTGCGAATTTCGACGATAAGCTCCCTCAAATCTAAGGTGTTTTAAATACTGCAATCTTGTTCTTTCCATTAAACATTCATGTGTAGTGGCTGCTTAAGGTCCTTCCTCAGGTTAGATAAAATCATGCTCATAAAGACCGTCTTTATCATGCAGAGGTGCTCGATTATTTGACCGCTGCATTAGATTGTTGACAAGATGTACATGACGGCCTTATCCGTGACTCCCTGATAGTAATGAGCAGTCAAGCAGGTGTGTGGTTCACTCTTAGTTAGAAAGAGAGCAACAATAATCATCCCTCAGTAATGCACTTCATGATGTTTTAATGGATGCATGGTGACATCAAAACTTAGTGGTCAAGAATAGACATTCTTGAACTGAGATATTCTACACTCTCTTTCTGAACTGGCACGACTCTCTCACTTAACGAAAGGTGCGTTTGTTCCGAAATTGAGAGAAAGAATATTTTCCCTAAAAATCAGCGTTCAAACGATGTCAGTTTCACAGGACTTATTTGAGGGATGTGCTACCGGTCACTTGTGAAGCTTGAATACAACATCCAAGTGTAACATCCATCGGAAAAAAATCAGGGCTTATTATTTAAATCGACTAGCGGTTGCTGATGCTGCAGATCATTTCAAAAGGAGGGAGAATATGTCGCAACAAATATTTTAAAATAATGGCTTCTGTTTGCTGCATCCCGTAACTTCTGAGAAAACTCAGCTTGCTGCGTTTGAAGCAGTTCACAACTTCAAGAAAACGGGGATGAATGATTGAAGATACATTTTTAAACCCAGATAATATTATTAGTAGAGCAGTGAAATAGTAAATGATCGATGGATAGCAAAAGCCAACAGAGAAGGGATACTTTTACCATTTACGGAGGCTTAAATGTCTGAGCAAGGCTTGCTTATACTACTACCCGGCACCCTCTCTTTGATGATAAATTCCTCCTTCCTCTTTTAAACCTCCGCTGCCATGGTCATCCAGTTTAGTATGTTCATCCTAGCTGCATTAGAGCTCGCCGTGTGTTGCGTCTACGTCTCTAACATAGTTGCGGGAGGTCACTCTTGAAATTTTCCCTTGTTCATCCCCTCAAGTGAAACGTAAACACCAAAACGGTTGTATCAAACATGTTACTGTTACTTTCATCAAATTGAAATCGGTTACAATCTGCGGCCCCAACCCAAAAGTGAGAAACGAACAGTTGTAGTAGTGTCTAAAAATGGATATGAGAAAATACACCTGTCATAGTCAAAGAAAAATGTCAACAGCAAGCAATGGTTATTTGTCTTCATCAAGCCAGCCCAATTCTCATCAGCGGAAACATCGGGTTCGAAAGCAGACCAAAGTGTTGAAAATACTGAACGAATATGGTATCTTCCTGTCAATCACCAGCAAAGTAAATAGCATAGCTGGAAGAAATAAAACAAAACGGACTGAATAACAGTCGCTTTCCAGTGATGTGACACTAGAAAGAATGAAGCGAGCCTTGTTTCAAAATGATTACTGAGTGCACGAATAAGCAGTGAAATCAAGTGGAACGTCACGCTCAGAGACGAAGCCGGACTATAAGCTAAAGAACGCATAGCATGCATTCATGTGAAACATCGTTTGAGCTTGCTCCACAGAGAGTACTCCGTGGTTAGTAATAGGTTAATTCTAGCAGCATGTGCAGGCAAGTAGTTCTTGTCGTAACTTACAGCATTGAAGAAGCGGAAATCTTTGAAGTGGTGCATCAATTTACACAAACTTGCGTGCACAGCTCGAAGATGATCTTTCCACTTACCAGGCCTTCATTCAGTTTAGTTTGGGACCTTGATCAACGGAGTTCTGATCACGGCCAGAATGGTTGCATTCTCAAGACCTGTGCTACTTCGTAGGTCGTGTGCTTGATGTTGGACCAAATCTGCTTAATCAATCTACAGCGTTTTAATGATGAAAATAATAAATTTCTTAACCGTTATCTCAATTAGGTGTCGGTATAAATTTCTGTGAGTGGATAACAGACCGTGCTGTCCTTTAAAGGGATTCCGCAATCGAAACACATAAAAGACTCGGATCATTCGCTAGTCAATGTTTCCCGTGTGTGTCGCCTGGCTTGTATGTTACTTTTTGTGCACACAAGGGGTATCAACTCACCAGTTGTCCCTGCCGTCTCAAACTATGCGGAAAGTAAGCAGTTTATCAAAACAAGCCTCCAGTGTGGGTTTTGTTTGCCCACGGCGTGCCATCATACTGCTTGAATTCTGATTTATCGTATTATGCCTTCAGACGACCTAGATTAGCATCGAGCATTCCAAACTATTGAAACTACATCGGAGCTGGGTTTGTCTGTCTATGAGTGTCGTCGTGCGTGCCGAATAATGGAAAAAATTAACTGTTCATGTGTGCTACCAGGGTGCTGCAGGCCACCAGGCCATCGTTCACATGCACCGCGAATATCAGTTGTCCAGTTGTCTCCATGTGACTCAGTAAGTGTGGTCACTGGCTGCATACTTTGGAATTATCCCCCCATTTTTTTCATTCCAAGTGCGCATATGGTGAAGGGAGTCTTCTGAGATCCAGATGTGGCTAAGCGCAAACTGCAGTTGGCATTACCATACTGCTGGGATTCACTGACACTGGTGAATGTAGCTTTCTACGGCGTGATCAGAAGTTGGCTCACGATGGTTGGTTATCTACTCTTAAGTTGACTGACACAAAGGGCAAACTGTAAAACGTACTTGGCGAACGGAACGCTAGTTTAGAAAGATTGTCGGTTTCCGTTATCCAATATATTCGGACAAATTTCTTTGAGTATTCTTAAGGTGTCTCCCAAGTATATTTTTGAATTATTTGGTTGAACTTTTGGTTCAACCTAATAAATGAATGGCATAGAACCATGGTCCCAAGATGAGAATAAATCAAGCAAAATAACGTTGAATGAACAAACATGTATAATTTACAAGAGCATTTTGATAAACTAAACATATATGGCCATTTCGCACGCAGACCAAGTTAGCGCTGACACTTTATAGCAAACCGTATGGGGACGGTGACCAATTCTGTACCCTTCCACTTCAGATATTTCGTACAATAAATATGTACAATGCCCTATTTGCTCAATTCGATATAATTCTTAAACAATTACTGCGCCCGTCTTACAAAAGCTCTTTTGGATTGATCATACTAACGTCTAAACGGTCGAAATAGAATTTTCTCATTCTAAAACTTCTGTAGAAGTAAGCAGTTATGAAATCTAATTGCTTTAAAGTGGAACACCAAAGAATACCACATCCACCCACCGACTACGGACGTTGCTCCGGCCACAAAAAAGTGGTTGTCGACGGAAGTTCCAGCGGGAGCAAGAATTGTCATCATAGATGCCGCCAGGCTCCCAACAAGCTGCAAGTAACAGAAACCACAAGGTATAAAATTTACTGATATATATTCGGTTATCGCACATGAAAACGCGAAGTGGCATAACTTACGAAAGCTGTGTAGATGATCCCGTAGTTGACGGCAAAATTCGCTGCCCCAAAAGTTGTTGCGGTGGCCGTTGGGGCTAACACGAAAATTCCACTCTGACACAAGAACATAAGGCTAACCCAGAGGACGAACGTAGCTTTTGCGCCGGAACCGGTGAATACGGAAATGAATGGGAAACTGAACAGAAGCACGGCCCACAAAATGCACACGCAGCTCATAGGTACCTAAGGGTTAAAGAAGGTGTTAAGTCTCTATGTAGCGTAATCTGCAATACTATTCAACAGTATTAAAAGTAATCCGATAGCTTGACTAATGGAGCAGAATAATTCCGCCCATAATAACATAACAAGACCTTCCGATGATACACTGGAGGGAACAACTTGCTCCAATAAGCTCATAGGCTGCAGACTTATAACAATAAGGTTGCCTTGTGTAATCAAAAAACCATATTAACCACTCGCGGCAATTTCCGGTACTAGTGCTGTCTGCTGGTACCCAAAACACAATCATCAGGAAGCTCTGCGGACTCTAAAAGTTTCACTACCACAAATGTACTCAGTTTTGAAGAGTCTGAGAAAACATATTCGGGGTTGTTTAAGTGTATATCGTTGACGAGTAGATTCGCCAATTTTTTCCAATAACTGGATTCCAATGTGATTTTTAACGACTGTCCCACCTAAAATGCCCAGTTGAGCGTCCAAAAAAGGACGAATTTGATGCAATTTTTGCTATTTTGTATATTCAATGAGCCTGTGAGGAGCCAAACGTATACTACATTAGGAAAAACTTTATACCAATCCTATCGAATTCTAAAGCCGTACTTAGACAGGTTTGCTATAAACCAATTCTGGAAACTTCTGTGAGGTCCACGAGCACTTGAAAGATACTGAACTGGAAGGCATTTAGGTCCTACATTGCCAGCGTACCCACTTTCAAACTCCTAATACTCGATGAAGTAAGATAAACGTCTTTTGTTAGGTAGAGCATGACTCTGTAATTCTTCGTCAATTTGCCAAATGGGTTCTTAAGCGAACTGTACTGGCTGCACCTTAGACAGCTTGCAAATCGTTCATCACACGCCGGTAACTTGATTAAGAATCATTTGACATTATGAATGGAACCGTTTATCAACTACCTGTCTTATAATATACTAGTAAAATTTGGTCTTGTAGGGATAAAATTGCTGTTATGAATGTTGGTAATGTGGTGAAATAATGGTAGCTCGGGTGAGTTTATTGGTTGTTGATCAGGTGGCTGTTGATTTGTTCGCCGAGCTTGGCAATTGGCTTGCAAACGTTTCGTCACCATACGAGGAGACATCATCAGTGCGCAGTTGGGTGGGTAATTCTTCCTTGACTGAGTGTGTTTATATAGCAGTCAAAGGCTATCTGTTATCTTCTGACGTGAGTCGCTACTTGAAGTGTAACGAATTTTTCAAGTAGCGACTCACGTCAGAAGATAACAGATAGCCTTTGACTGCTATATAAACACACTCAGTCAAGGAAGGAGTACCCACCTAACTGCGCACCGATGATGTCTCCTCGTATGGTGACGAAACGTTTGCAAGCCAATTGCCAAGCTCGGCGAACAGATCAACAGCCATGTGATCAACAACCAATGTTGTGAATGTATTTATCCAATGTTTGTTTCGTCTATAAACCTTTAACCCGATAATATAATACGTGAATAAGCGAAACGTAACCGCTGCGTCAACTAGATATGGTGCTTGCTTCAAATGCAAAAGATCGAAAACGTTATTCTTTTTGACGACAAAAAGCCTCAACAGGATCAGCAAAATAGGTAACTTTAAAATTGATCATTGGCAACCCCACAAGCAGTTACGCGTTCAGAATCCTAAGCTAAAGACACGGCATTATTCATTTGCACAATAGAGGCATCTTGTTTTTAAAACCAAATTTTTGTTACACTTGAACAGTTTTACCTATACCGTTTAGTCTGCTTCATCGTTTGCCGTTTGCAAATGAAAGAATGTTTTCATTTTATGTGGAAATTGAATATTCTATCAAGGTTCATTAATAGGGGATAACACTAAGCCATTTCCAGACAAGGTATAACAAGCAATCTTATCGTTATATTTTTGCCCCTAATTTGCGACAAGTACGACACTACAAATGGCTTTATGGGTAATTCGAGCATCTCATAAGTCTACGGTGTATACAACCCGAAATAACTGTACCGGTTCTCAAATGCCAACTAGACAGCCTTCAAAACCTTGCACAAAATACCGATACTCTGGCTGCTTAATTACTTCTGAACACTTTAGCATTTCGTAAGCTTGTTTGTATAGCTTCATGTCAGTGCTGCTGAATCTACCCCGTATTATATATCTGACGTCGAACTTATTATTTGAAAAGATATGGCCAATATACACTATTCGAAACGGCATTCAGACTATAAAGAAGCAAATGGCATCCAACCACGACTCTATTTAAAATCTAGATTTCTATAGCAAAAAGGAAAACTTAACAAGCGTCTATTACCTTGCGTGACGGATACAAACAGCAAATCAATTGTGAAAACAGTTCTTCCAAATGCATGCATGGATTTCGGGCCTTTCATCTATGCCATTCATTCATCATAATAAACAAGGAAAACTAAAATTGCGGATGTTTTGCAGAACTGGGCCACTTTGTTTGACTTTAACATTGTATAGTACTTAAAAAAACACCAGTATGTGGACGCTGAAAACCCAACCACCGCCACTGAAAAGTCCATCTCAAAATGAACTTCGGTGTCAATTGGTCCGGCCATAGGCGAACTGTTTCCATCACTTTTAGCGATCAGTTCTGCCAAAACACACTTTATTTCCTGTCCACTGAAACCTTTATAAACCAGGTATATTATTCACCGTAAAAGCTGTAGTTAATGAAAGTAGCCACTATAGCCAGATAAGTCTTAATTAGGATGTTTATGTGAACAAATTAATATCCGTAATTTAATGACGTTGAAACCCTCGAAGATACTTATCAGTCGTGCTTCTTTTGGAATAAAAATTATGTCGTTATGATGAAATTGTATAGATTCTATATTGTGCAAGCCTAATGGTAATTTCTAGTGGACAACTTCATAGACTACCTTACTTTAAACGAAATCCGATCACATACGCGACCCCAGAATATACGACCCAGACAGTTGCATACCGACGCAGACATTGAAACACCAGCCAGAAAGAGATCGTCGTGAATGTACCGATTCCCAAAGACCTGATAGAGGCGAGAAAAAGACTAAGTTCAAGAAGGCATGAAGGGAATTTTCAATGACATAATTAGAACCACATCCAGTTTTCATGCAAAAATTTCTGGGATATGTTCCCAGAAATTAAGCCATCGAAAAAGCAAGCAAATATAAGCCACCTTAATGAGTTAAGGTTATGGACGATCAGTTAAGAAAAAGCATGCTGATTTCGGAACGAGAGGGCTTACTGACCAAAAAGCAGTTTCATTTTGGCATCAAATCTGTCCAGCATGAAACAGACCAGCTCCACAAGTAATCGAGATTTTTTGATATTTATTGGTCCAAAGTAATGCGGAAGTTCCCCACTCTTTTGCCTATCAGAGGTGAAATACCAACAATAGGACTACTAGAATCAAATGGTTCAGACCACTAGTAACTTGTTAAACAGTGTGTCTATGGAAACCCAAACCGCATCTGTGTTGGGTTGAAACAGTTGTACTCTTCAACCCCTATATATTCACTCATTATGGCAGATAATTCATCTAGTGTCAACCCAGATATATTGCTTCAGACGTAGGAATAAGGTGCTTTACCTCGTAATGGCCATATTTTTCCAATTTGTTGGATCTCTCGTAGCAGGTGTACGTAATGTCGACGACGTCTCCTGCTCCATACAGACCGTTGCAGTTGTGGATACACTAATGTGACTTTTTACGAACGAATTTGCGTTATTTGTCATGTAATTTTTTATGAAAAGAAACCTATCAAGAAGAAGATAGAGAAAGCATTTGGCATTCCTACACCTGAACTTATGAAAAAGGAACAATCATGAGCCATGTTTGAATGACCACGGAACACGTAATGCTGTATAAGTTCGCTGATGTTTCTTTTCCTGAGTGGCACTTGAAAGACGCAAATAACAACACAATACCCCTGAGGCACACATGCCTCTTTGTCCAACATGCAATAAATCCAAAGGCAGTATACTAACCCCGAAAACCATACCCCGCGTAGGGCAAGTACACACGCATTAGCTTTCGACTAAATGTCATCATTTATACGGTCCATTGGCTAATAAATACAATTTGATATTTCCTTGCGTTACTATTAGGAAACTCAAAGCCCCGTAAATCAAGCAAGTGTGTGGTTAGGTAAGAATGCATATAGCCAATTGTTTTATTGCAAATACTCACTGTTGCAACACAAAGGGACTAATGTTATTATACATATAAAAACCTCTACCACAAAAATAAAGCCATTTCTAGTTGCAAACAATTTAAAATAGCCTCTATAAACCTTCTTAGTTTATGGGGTATGTTTCTGTGTCGGTCACCTGCTAAAAACGACATTTTTCACGATCATTTCTTAAAAATGCTTATTTATATAGTTCCGCTTCAACGTAAAGTGTGGTCAACTAATCATTCCAACCGGATGAACATTACTATCGGCAGATATAAGAGGTTACTCCGCTTAACATGATCAAGGTGTAATAAACACAGCATTAGTATGTTTACGAGCTTCTTCTATTACCACGAATGTTTGTATGTCATATAGCAATGTTGGGAATAAATGATGAAAACTTACTGTTAGTAGTTTGAGCACAATCTAAGTTAGTTGTGTAATTTGCCAACCATCTCGACAAACAATTGTTTGGTGGTAACTCAAAATTATTTCTTCTATCACGAAATCTTCTGAACATAGTAATGCTGAAACCTCTCACTGATGGTTGTTTAAGGAATATAAGTTTTGGATGGAGCAGAGGTACATAATGAAAAAAATTCATTTACATCTCTAAATTTGATCTCTCGATCGAGGGAAGAGTTGATTCACGATTTGATGAGATCCATAAAGTACGACACCAGTTTTTACGAGATAAAGGAATTCCAGACGTGATCAAAAACAGAAATTCACAAATAAATGCGTAAAAATTAAGCGTGGGAAGAACCAAATATTGATTACCAGATACTTCTGCTCATTGTAAGGAATCGTTCTTGAACAGAATATTTCGTAAACGGGAAACATAGCCAATGAGTTGTTGCAGGAAACCGTATCTCACCTTGAACAGAGAGGTCACCAGGGTGATTGGGATGGCACCACAACAAACGGAAAACCATAAAAGATAAAAGTCCATAGCTTTCAAAATATTCATTGGTGTTATGTCAACCAACCTGTAAAATAATTCAAAGAAAAACTTATAAAATAAAATAAATTCTGATAAGCCTCAAATAAAGGTATTAGGGAAGTACTCATTCTACATGGATCTTAAAACGAGGACACCAAAAGAGTAGGCAGTTATTCTAAATCATGAGCGGAACCATTGGACCTTGGGCACATATAGAGCTTTCTTGGCAATGCCTTTTGCCCAGGCTCAGTGGTTTGCTTTTCACATGAGCCTGAATAACCGCACTAAAAATAGATGTACGTACAAACACTTAACTAATTTTCACAGCTCCGACCAGTCTCGATTCTGTTCTGGTTCAGTCGTTTTTTACTTTCCACACAAAATAAGCCGTGAGTTACGTGTTTACCTTTATTAGAGATCACCGGTATCGCATATTGCGGAACGTATGAGAGTTCAAACTGCATATAACTGACGTGCGAGGCGGGGGTTATCATTTTTCCGCCAGAAAAATCAATCGATTCACTCAAGCATAAAAAAGTTTTACGGTTCAGATGTGGTAATTTAGGTGACCCAACATGGGCTGGTTGAGCACGGTTAACTGGATTGTTTGGCACTTCAGATCTCTAGAGGTAAACCCCAACGGGGTCCAGGATGCTCCCTGATATTGGACTCTAACAAGAGCAAAACTCGACTTCGGTGCGCGCATCCTTTGCCGTGAACCCAGTAGGATACTTGCACCAGAATGGGGGTAGAACTGTTCAAACGCGGGTAACGTAGATGTGAACACAGATCTCGATACCATTCACCAATAACCTACGTCCGTGTGCTGCGAAACGTGGACAGTTCGCCGTTTTAGGAGAAGCGACGGTCCTGCATTTGAACTTCCATTGCTTTCATTCTCCAAAACTCTCATTCTCAATTGACGCTGATACAATTCGTGACGTCTGAGCAATAACGTTCGAATGATGTGTACATAAAACTCCGCTGACACCCTTCTATAAATAATCTTTCAACTGTGTTTTCGTTATCCCTCCAAATGATCAAGTTTGGTAGAATTTCTGGGAATCGTGAGTGATACGGATTAAGGGGGATAAATCGCGTTGACATTCACCTAATCAACATGAAGCGGTGTTGGTTTGCAAGCTTATAAATTATAGGCCAGTGAGTTCAAGAAGAGCAGAGGTGATAACAACTAGCATTACTTTTCGTCTATATTGACTGGGTAAATGATGTGGATCTAGTTATTGGTTAGAACACTATTATGATTAGTGTTTCTTCTGGCCCACGAGAAATTTCGAACCAGGAACAGTCTCAAGTAAAGGGGAGGGCAATCATCAGCAAACTTCAGTATCAGCATACCAGCACAAACATTTCGTTTTGCTGCATTTCGCATAAGACGAAACTAAACGAATTTTATCCATACAAGTTATCCCGCCATTCAAGTCGACAGTTTAAGTTTCACGTCAAAGTTGTCGATTTTCAAATGAATGTCATAGTAAGGAAGCTGAGCGTTTTAGCCGATTTCACAGTGTTCTCCATTAGATCCTCTAGTAAGTTACAGCTCTGATATTTCAATGGCATAGAAATAGCGCATATGTACAGGATCTACTATAAAACAAAAATATTGACGAACTAAGTTAAAGTGTGACATTTACTCGTCTGTCAGCTGCGATAATTTCTCACTTTCTACCCAACCAGAAGGTACAGGTTGTGATAGCTTAGAACACTTAGTGTAGACTTGATTGGAAAGGAGCACACCTTAACGCAAATTCACCACTTAGGTTGGCATATATCGTATAAAAATAAGTAATAAGGGCTCCCAGAAGTTTTCCACGGAATACATAAAACGGGCTATTGCACATCATATATTAGAACCATTAAAATTCGGAAATTCGGAAACATCATCGTTCGAGGATGGATAGCTCACTTGTCGAATTCCAAATTCACCTGATGCTATGTTGGAGGAATAAATTTTGATATAAAATTCTATTAGGTTTATTCCGAAGGGAATGGATACTTACAGGGAACGTCACTAACCAGAGGCCCTCTAATACAAGCACACTAAAAAGACTTGGTATTTAAGTCAACTGATTTCCAAGGCAATTATTTCGCCTAGCTGATAATAGCAGATCACAAGTGTGCATTTAGTATATCATTGTTATAATTTTGACATATCTTGGGTATGCGAAATGCGTTCAATTTAAATGTCTACAACTTTCTATGGTAACAAAAAACACAAAAATCAGTTTTAAGTGTCTAACGGGAGAGACGACGTACGCCTTCTGAGAAAGCAGTGAATCTCACGTTTGTGAGAAACTAAAAAGCACCAAATAACGCTTAGACGTCTGATAAAATATGCACCATCTTATTCCGGGTTTCCTCTTTATGGTGCGGCTTTGACGACGGCCACAATCTAGCGACATAATCTTGCCTCTTAGTAGGGCATTACAGAGTATATTGCTCAATTTTTCATTTTTTGATGGAAAAATAAAGTCATCGGAATGAGTAGTATTGGAATAAGCTCTTTATGGTCAAAATGTAGTAAGAGAAACTCTTTCTGACTGCGTTTAGTTTGGCGGGTTTTGCAACGTTTTTAACTATTCTATTCCTTATACGTCGTTGGATAATGAAAAATAAGTATTTGATCTTGTGCGTTATGTTTTCTAAGATGCTCTGCATTGAATGGACTAAATTTGTCTAATTTAACTGATCTTGTTCACCCTGGCGGACATCATACATCTAAGATACGGCTTCAACATTCTCACTTTGACAAGCTTGGTGTATGGATTGTAAAACAAACTTTCAAATTGTATGGCTGTTTTTCTAAGACATCTTAGTTGGATGAAGTATTAATTATTGGGCCATTTTACACTTGCACTTAAGCAATGCAAACAAGATATTCTAAGCGTGACTTATAAATATTTTAAGCGGTTAATTTCTGATCAGTTTCTGGAAAACATGATCCTGGCTAGCGTCCATCATTTGCTCAACAGAATGCACTCTTTGCTTGATTTCGGTTACTCCTTTAATCACAATACCTTTACTTGTCTGATTAGTTCAAATCTCGGATTTGTCTTCTGGTGGTTTGTGTGAGACCTAAGGACTGATCTGTGGGTTTGGTTGTCGCTTTGCAAATGTTCTCAATACTCAAGAAAAACTGAAGACAGGGTGATAATCCATTTTACAACCTTAAACAGGCAAAGTTTTTCAAAGTAAACGCATAAACATTGGGCGTTCCGAGTCAAACTCAGCTAAAAAGTTTGTTAGAAATGTCCCGCACGACAATCAAGACGTCGAAGCATAATGTCTTATTCCAGTACACGGTGTTTTACTTTAAAATCTCACAAAATGCGTCCGTTGCGTCTATTTTACGGTATCAACTAATACAAGTACAATTTCAAAAATCCATTAGAGTGCAGTCCATGTGATTTGTATTGTCGTAAACTTATTTAGAGTTCATTGAAAATTGACTGAGCCTGTACTTACTTCTGATGGTTCTAAATCCCGTTCGACAACGCCAAACTGCTCATTGTTGTGTTTATCTGCAATTGTCTGAGCATGAAGATATGAGCGCAAAAGATAGAATTCGGATGAGACAGGCCCATAAAAAAGAAACCTTTTTCGACCTCCAAGTAAATAAAATAGGTCAAAACAAAACCATACACATTTATATTTCTCATTCCACACAGATGCAAAAATTGATGTGATTATATTTTCCATTCACTGTTGTGTTGCATAATCTAATGTTTTTGTTAGGCTTGGATACTTTGAATCAATCAGAAGCAAACTTCCAAAATGTGGCAAGCATCACTTAAAATGTGGGGGCTATTCAGGCGCATTTTAAGAAACTAAGATTGACACAAGATAACCCTTGATAACTGGGCTGGTGAAGCACCCGTTTTGCAAGCCAGAAGCTGCTGTTGGCATATAAAATTCATGTGTATCTTTTGAACTATAGTACATCTTTGATTTTTCTCCTCTGATATCTGCTGAGGCCGAATAATGCTTTTATTAATAACTAACGAGATAGTATTTGCTGGATTATTATATTTTGCCAAACAAAAATGCAATGGAATAAACAGAAAATCTCATGCTATCAAATTTCTTGTTACACACTATGAAGGTCCGGGTTCTCCAGAGTGTTTTTGGCCACCGATTTTGTTTAATTTCGAAAGTGTGAGGTAGCTGAATACAGCATGTGAAATGTCGCACACAGTTTTGAACCATTGTGTCTTCTAAATAATAATGATGTATCTCCCAAAGTGTTAGTTGAAAAAGAAGAAGTACACCTAAAACATGATAGGAAGGCGCCTAGTTCCCGAAACTGACCTACACAGTCCGGAATCAACGGATGGTGAGAACGTTTGGTGAAACAGCCGTATGAGATCAACAGGCTCAGGAAAAAGCCCTGGGTCGAATTGCTTAAAAGTACTAGCCTGTGCATAAAAGAATCAATGTTTCTTGATGTTTTTTTTCATTATCAAGTATTTAGTAACAAAATACATGAGAGACGCTTACTTGTGGCTTCTTCTGCATAAACAATAGTCCGGTTATTTGTAAAGCTGCTGTTATGCCCGCCAGTAGTAAAAATGCCTGTGGAACACGGTGCAAAATTTCCGCATCTGTAAAACCTCTGAATTTGGAGAATTTTCATTATAAGTATTTAGTAACAAAATACATGAGAGACGCTTACTTGTGGCTTCTTCTGCATAAACAATAGTCCGGTTATTTGTAAAGCTGCTGTTATGCCCGCCAGTAGTAAAAATGCCTGTGGAACACGGTGCAAAATTTCCGCATCTGTAAAACCTCTGAATTTGGAGAATGGACAAGTACAAATAATAAGCTTTCAAATAAATTACGTCGATGTCAAACTTTTACGAAGTTGCGTATAAACACTATCGAGATAATTTGGATGAATAAGACGTTAAGGAAGCCTTCTGTTATCGTTCAAGAAACAGGAAGTTTCCGTTACTGCGTGAAAACATTTTCCAAAAAACATCATTTTTCTTTGGGAAAATGGTCTGAGCTAATTCTCCTAAATCTGCTACTTGATCACCATCTCTATTGTTTTCAAGACAACACATAAATGACTCAAACATGTTTTAAGACCTATTTTTTTGGAGTTTGTTAGGTTTAGGGCTATGATATATTTCATCAGTTTTAATGCTCAATAAAAAAACTAACTGAGAAAGTTGGTTATCAAGACATTCACCTAGTAAAACGTTGTTGCATCTGTAAGTTCTGAAAAAACGTTTAATTTTAGGCGTTTGAGTCCATCTGAGAGAACCACTTTTCTTGAAGTTATTGCAGATTCACAATCCACGGCCCTATCTTTAGTGGACCCTTGAATGAGAAGCAGCTAAGGCTCGACATATTCTCCCATTTCTTTGTTGTTTATACGTCTCTGGTTGGTCTGCATGGGTGGCCGGGTTCACCTATAAATCAGACGTGCAGAGCAAATTCAGTTGCATTGTCCAATGGCCACAAACAAGGCAGCTCCACTAATTGTCCAAGAACACGAATAATCCTACACAAATCACACTCAGTATTGTAGAATTGGTTCACCGTGTATATTGGCGTATTTTTTTGCAAAATCAGCAGCCATTGCTTAACGAGTAGGAGTAGTGGAGAAAGTGAAAAAGGTGGTGCAATTAAGCACCCAAAAATGTCCGTCATCATATCCACTAAAGGGTGATGTAGTAATAGCAGATGGATTTCAACAGCCCAAGAAATAACGTAGGCAACCCTGCTCTAGCATATTCACTCAGAGGTTATCATATCATGTGTGTGGCAGAGTACACCTAAATTAGTTGACAGTTGAGCATCATAAAAGAATGATGAACTGGCTGAATCAAAGGCATGTAGTCCATTGAAATTTAAACTTCATGGTCGGAAAGATTAACATCTAATTATGCTAATGCCATGATGAGTGATGGATGATATCGGTGTTCATAGCGTCTGACAGTATATTTTATATTTAGATCCGGTTCCTGGAATAGCACTGCTTCATTTCAATTTTGCTCAACAACTGGGTCTATCGCGCATATCCACCAGCCTAAGGTTGCATGACGGTGAAAAAGCAGTTGAGTGTTGCTGTCCGGCGACCATTTTTTGACCGAGTTTAGGGTCCGGTCAACAGATTAAGTGCACCAGCTAGCACGGCGCCCTTACTTCAGCAAATAATTATGTAAGCATTAAGGTATATAACTTGCAAGTGGCTCAAAGATTAAACCGGGGCTTAGTCTTGTACACCGGGAGATGTCGATTTTCTGGGGCGTTTATTATGTCAAGTGAAATGGTAGGTGTAGCTGAAAGAATGGATGACTGGAGAAGTTTGTTAGGTAAATGGGGTGCTTTAGCAAATCCTTGGCCTAGAGACATGGGTTGTGGTGGGTTACTGATTTAAGTAGCTGGGAAAATGTGCTGCAAGTGAAATAAGATTGTGCGGCACAACGGCTTAAATAAATTACCTGCACAGAGATCTAAATCTCGCACCTCAATGATCAAATGAGCAAATAAGTAGCAGGGGATGGTGAAATCGCTCGAAATCCATGGTGCTACCTGTGCGACCCTTTGTTCGGTACGTGTGACTTTATACGGATAAACGAGTAAAATTGCGGCAACGGCTGTTGTTTTCTCAAATAGAACATTTATGGTTCTCTCGCAAGTAGAGAGTTTTCTTTTCATTCATCAACGTCTTCCGTAACAAGTGAAGCAGAACATTCTAAGCAGATTAAACAGCTCAGGTTTTCTGTTCTATATTGGACGAAGTTATGGCATTTTGCCTTGATCGGTAGGACACGTTTCTTAAAATTTTTGTCAAAACTGGTGCACTATCGATAGACACGAACCCCTGCTGCCTAACCTAGCAATAAACCGGCTTCGCTAAGCTGGAAGTCATCCGTCCGTTCACTAAACCTGATGAAAATATTGCATTAAGTTCTCCGTTGGTTCTCCTCTTTGGTATGTAGTTGGACGTGAGCCCCAAGACCTCAAAACCTCCGGATGTTCCATGTTCCATCAGGATTTCACGACCAAACAGGACTGACAGAGTTGAGACCTAACTCAAGTGGTTTATGGGGTGTTGAATTGCATAATAATAATAATAATAATAATAATAGCATAATATGAATGCAAAACCTGATTGCTTATAGCACATATAGTGTCCAGTATTAATCCGCAAAAGGATAACCTGATGATACTATTTACATGTTCTTAATCGAGTCGCTAACCATGTCGATCGACAAAATTTAAAAGGAGTAGTGGAATGCAAGCAGATTCGGACGTAGAGGCAAGTGTAAAGATGAGTTGTGCGCACCTAGCGAATCATTGAGAACTCAGCCATCAACGAGCACAAGATTTAACTTACCGTGTGGTTGTATTTATCTTCAAGTTAGCCGGATTGATATAACCAGTCTGAATTGGTGTAAATACCAGCGCGCCTGCACCAAACCCGCTAAGGATTAGGCCCATGACTAGACCACGTCGGCTTGGAAACCACTGTGAAAAAATTTAAAAAATCATTGATGATGTTGAGCCGTAAGAAGTGAATGGGTAAGAAAGGGTTCTACGTTGGTTCAGTAGGCAGTTTCAGGTTTTCAATTTTGCTCTTATGGACATTCTTCCAGGCTGGAATGCTTAATGCGATGGAGGATGCGAATAAACTGAAGATGACAAACCACAGTTAAGATAAGCACCAAATTTAAAACAGATACGAATCGCAAATGTGTAAAAAAATACAAACTATTCTATCACTCACTTGCTAAAATGAAACCATATTTGTAGAAAAGTCTATACGGAAAAATACCAATTTTTCCATGTTGATATCGACCTAAGTTTTCTCATTCAAAGTTTTTTTTAGTTCAGGTGATGTGCAATTGTGAGCATTATAAGTAGATGCCACTTTACTCGGGAGCCGACAGTTTGCATGAATCGCTTCAGATGAAAGTTTTGGATGTAATCATGCATCGAGATTCTTCGATGCAATCCAGTTTTTATATACATAAATACTTACCTCTGACGCCGCTGCAATAATCACAGAATATCCCGCTCCAAATCCGATTCCTCCAAGAAGGCCGTAAATAAGTACCACTGCCCAGAAACCCCAGTTGACGGCAAAATAAGTCAGTGCAATACTTCCACTAAAAGTAAATATGTAGAAGGTAAATGTACATTATTTTTCACCACTCAATCATGTATACAATATTTGAGAACGTACACAAACCAAAAGAATCAACAATGGTTATTACAATAAATGGACACTAGGTAAGCGCAGTGAACGTCATTATGTATGAAGTGTGCAGTAAGTCAGGGATAGTAAAACCTCTGTCTGAGACTTCATTGCTCTGAGATCCATTCAGCACATGTGCGCACGTGATTGACTCTTATGACTGCGTAGTAAGCGGCGCTATATCGTCTACTTGTGAGCTAATCACACTTCTTGTCGACTGCTTGTCACCGAACGGTTAGGTATTCAACTTCGTCGTATCAGTGAAACGTGGCGCTGATAGTCCTGGAAGTCAAACTAGTTTGTCAACTAACAGCTGGCTTCATCACTTCAACTGTAACTACAGCGATTGAAAGTGTTTTAAATAGATATCTGCATATGGTGGACATGGCTTACACAACGACAATAACATGAAATTAGCAAAGCAGCCTCTATAAATTCCAGCATACGTAATGAGTACAGATCAGCAGTCATTTCATGTTTATAAGTACACTCTTAAAATAGGTTCGCTTTGGATGCGATCTGAGGAATTTGGCTCTCATATTTGGGGTTGATTAAGTGGTCGCTGAACCGTTTGCTAGAGTCTTTTCGTCAGCATTCAAGGAGCTGTCACAAGGGCGTGATTTTTGACGACGTCCCTTCGAATGGTGACGAAAAGATTGCAAGTCAGTCCCCACACTCGTTAAACGGATAAACAGCAACCTGAACACTTACCACCACCAGTTCAGCGTACATTATTTGAACGTAATCGGTCAGATAATGAGTGCAATGAATTTGCGACCATAGTTCTACAATCGCATAGGCTAAAGAGCTCAAACAAGGATAACCACACCGAATAACAAGCAAACGGTAAAAAGTTTACCATATGTCAAACATCAGCACATCGCCACAATTAAACCGTTAGTTTCAACGAGAAATTCTATAAACGGTCGCCGTAGGATTGCTATTTTGACTATCCAATGTATTTTTCACCACACGAAACTTAAATGCAAAGGCACCAGGCTGAGATGAAGTGAAGCCCTATCAGTTCCATGTCCATTGCACCAGTACGTTAACATGCGAATCCTGGTAGCCTGTTGGAGGCATCATCGGAATTCGGATTCAATCCATCTCTGGGAAGAGACCGCTTTAAACCTTTGTGGACTTCGCCGAGTTATCACAAAATTCAAAGTCTGGTCTAACTGGAAGTGTCGCAGATGGCTTGTTCCTAGACACAATAGTCCCTAACATTAAGCATTTGTAAGCCAAATCGGAAAGACAGTTTATACGCACAAGCGTCTGCGAAATACCTGCACACACTAAGACAGTAAAACAGCATACTGCAAAGGAAGTCATCAGATTCATTAAATCTACGTGCAGTAACGTCAACTGTACTATCAAAGATCATGTTACGGAACGGCATAGATGTCACTGTCTTGGCTGCCTTCCTTATGCGTGATTAAACAAATAAACTACCAAGAAATAGATGGACTGTACCCACCAAGATTTAGCAGTGAGGAAAGGTTCCAAAGTTCTCAATAAATAAACTACTACATTTTGCTCAATGTTTACATTATGAAGAAAATCTGAATAAACGTTTGTTGACTTCTCCGCACAAAAATCATTATTATTGGTAAAAGAACATGAGTTAAAACAAATGATAGCCTGTGGATGGGAACGTAAAGCAAACATTTAAAAGCAGACTCACAATGCCTACAGCTGATTCTGGTTCCATGTACTAAATATTTTAAGCAACACAAAACTCAATTAAGTATTAAGCGGAACGCCTCTAAGCTTTCGAATAGATTGGCTCTAAGAAATATGAAAGAAAGTAACAGTTTGTAGTAGTCAGGTGTGTGCACAGCTGTCTCAAAATTTTCGCAAACATTCGTCAGCTGGGCTTTACATTTATAAGATAACAAAAAGAAAGTAACTGGCCGGTAGTTTCAAAGTTTTGAACCGCACTCCAACAAATTACCAAAACAAATAGTATAACTGCATAAAACGGATTACAACGCAATTGTCGGATACGGTGAACCATGATACCTATCAACTCTAGGGCTGTTAACGTGACATGTGAGAGTTATTTATGACCTTAGTGATATCAACACCTGCTTACGTCACGTTAGAACAAATTATGTAGAATGAACCACGATATACGCACTGTTCCGCCTGCTTGGAAAATCCGTTATCAATATCCTTTGGTTGGGTGAGGGTGCTAGATATATGGCTCTAAAAGCTGTATTTGGTCAGGTTTATAGCGTTACAGGACCGTTTTATTAAACATTATCCCCTACCGGACGTTGGCACAGACGTTTTATGCCGACAAGTTACTACATAACACCTTACAATTTTCAATCGGTGAACTTTTCCCAGTAGCCCTTATTTCGTGTCACTTAAAAAGAAACAAAAAACTGTGAAAAAAGCTCGTCATGTATAATTTTTGATAGTGTACGCAGTGAAGTATATTTCCTGGGTCAGAATTACATACTACCATGCCAGTCAGAATATTAGGATGTTTAGCCACGACTCGGATATCTGAGTGTTTAGACCAAATAGATTGTTACATTAAGTGTCCTTCTTCAGGAGAACTTCTGTATACTTCTCTGGAGCCACAAAATCCGACATCAAGCCTACCTCACTCATAACGAACTAAAAAACCCGAAGTAACTGGTAAATAGCTCAGCATTTCTACCACTCTCTGACCCGAAAAGAATATTTTCCCCTTAGTTTTGACAACAAAGGATACTTTGACAGGACGTAATGCTCTATATGACTTCTCTCATTTTCGTTACTTTATTCTGTACGTGACACTAACACCTCGTTTATTACGCCTTACGAACTTATCTGTTTACCTCAAGAGCCAGGTCCACAAAATTCTTTAATCAACATTACTTTCTGTAGAGTCACAGTAACTAAACTGATTAAAGTTAAGTGATTTTTATCGTGTTATTTTACCGTATTTTCGACATTCACCTGATTAGATGGCCCCGATTTTTACGTTTTGCAATGCTGTAGTTCTTTACAGTATCACTTCACATTCACACAGACTTAACATAAAGCTGATGCCTTGCACGTTATGGTGATTAATGAGCGGTTTGATACTTATGTGCTTAGGTGTGGAAAGAAACGCACTTCCAAGGTCCTCTGTGAGATTTTGTCGGCGCCGTGATGCGTTTGAAGCAAACCTCCTGCGTAAATTTTCTTTTGTCCTTTTAGCTACAATGAACTGGGATGAGGTGAATTTTGTCCCGTGATCTAAAACGGAACAAGATTCTCAGTGATCTAATTAAAATATAACGAGTGCAGAAATGATTGCTCGCAGTACCTTAAGCGTTCAGTTTTCGGTTTATTTATAACATTCACAAATATGTACGTGGGGCCGTGTTAAGGAAACTGACCTATGCAATACACAGCTGCAGAAAACCACAGATCTGAAACCAGTCTTTGTTGCAATAAATGCGGATATTGGCATGGCAACCGACTGCGCCGAAAAGTCAACGGACGCCAACCAAACAACTGATGTTCTATTCACAGATAGGTTATGGAAATCCATATAATCCACGATGTAAGGTGCCATGTTGCCTGTGAAATAAGGATTAAAATTAACATCACTCTCACCAACAGTGTACGAGTAGCCATATGTCAGGTGTATCAAAATCCCACCGATAATGCATAAAATTCCACGAAATTTGTAACTGCAGCACTTGAACAGTTCCTGCATACATGAAAAAGCCACCATTTTACCAGTAGTTATAAAGCACGTGTAATAAAGTCAAAACTGTCCCGCTATTCAAACCTTTTGTGTCAAATTACGACATTCTACTAGCTTTTATGTAAGAAAAGCAAATGCTTGATCGCACATCTTATTGATTATTACGCCCAAATTTTAAACGGCTCTTGATGGATTCTAAAAACAATATTTTACACACAGAAGTACGACCAGTGTCCGCCAACCAGCCAACGAGTAGTAGCCAATGAGTAGCCAATGAGTGGAGCAACCTCCCGGAAATTTAAACATTGCCAACCGGATGTCAGTTCCAACATAATTATACTAAATTATGAACAGACTATTATTCTTAACATAAGCGTAGGACCTTTAAAAGGCCCTTAACTCTAAGCAAACCCTTATTTTGCAGGAAACCATGAGGGATTCTGAACAGTGTACTTTTAACAGACATCCTCAGGCGCAGTTGTAGATATGCATATTTAGGGCAAGGAGCACAACGATCTATGTGAACTCCACCATTAGAAAGCCACTATAGTGCAGCCGGTGGTTAAAATAATTCCATCCTACATCTTCATGCATCATGATACTTGTGTACCCCGGTGTACGAAAGAATCTGATAAGTCTTGCACAGTCTAACTGCTGAAGCTAAGAAGCATTGGATGCTACCGCTTCAACTGATATAAAAGATTGCTTATTTCATCTGACGTCTTTCAGTATTTGTCCGTAAGAGACCAATTATTGGCCGGTAATGCATTAAGTCACAACACTTAGTACTGAGAATAAGCTATGCCATTTTTGCCTTTACTCTTGGGATCCAACCAACTAAAATGCACGGAAAGGTGAAAAAACGCCACGAACCACGGACAACTGGTCAACGGGGTTCTAGAATTTTTTGCTGTGACGTTTTTCAATGATGTCACAAGCATCTGATGCTTTTTTGGCGGCTTCCGATTCAAGGTGCGTCTGTTGCTTCTGCATGTTACTCACGTTGGTTCACACTAAAGATCTGATTATCACCTACTCCAAATTTTGGAGATTCCCTAACGGACTTCACGAAACAGCCAATTTTCTCCTTCAAACATTCATCTGTTTTTTTTAGATGATTTAATAGCCAAGTTGTCACCTTGGATCGAAAACGCATACCATGGCAAACACATCTGGTGTGATAACCCTCATTCTCTGGTAGGTTTGCCACTTTATTCGTTTTAATAAACGTTGCATTCTTGCTCCCATGGGTTAAACAAATTGCCAGCGTTGAATATATCTGTCAATATCATGGTTATAAGGGATTCTTTCTACATGAGTACAACAACAGATGTGTGTTAGTTTCGCGAAAATATATGCGGTACTTCTACCGTAGTAATTACCTTTGAGTTTCATTTTTCGTGGAGGAAGAACAATATCTGAGAGGCAGTATGCTGCTTTTGGCCCTTTGTCCTTAATTCGGCTCTTGTAGAAACTTCGTTATCTTGTGCCTATTTTCAGTTCGATCTGCGACTTCAATAATTTAGGATAGCGCTTGAGCAGCCCAAACCATCAATCTTGTTCAACACGTAACACAACGCTCTACGGAAATAAAGGATGCCTTGCATGCCTGGCGTTCCCTCAAGAAACTTTTGCTTAAGATATTTTCGGGGCCTGCTTCTTTACTTTACTAAAGGAACCGCAACAGCGGACCGTACTTGTGAAATTTAAGGAGCATAGTACTTAAGCACATAGAAAAGCAGCATCCGTACTGTAGTGGTATTACCGAAACCGCATTTAGGGCAAACAAATCAACTACGCACCTACATGGACTAATAATGTGTAAACTTACAGCAACAATGGAGTATTTGGCAGTAACTACTGGTGTTTAATGAGATGTAGTCCCAAAGTAACCTGTTTCGGATAATGATTCAAAATTCGGCTGTGCCAGCTAAGTAGCCAACCCCATTAAGTAACCGGCAGGCATGAATGTCACTTTTTTGCCGCATTTATAGCAAAACTTTTCAGGATGTAACCTAATGGTCCCCATTTGGATTTTTATTTAAACGATTGTCAGTGACCGCAATTCAATAAATTCACTGAACAAGAAACCAAAAAGCCAGCACCAAAACCCTGCATATGCAAACTACTTTTGCGCGATGGGGTACATTTTCTGTAATAAACCAAATGGCATCATGATTCATTTAGTAATTTAAAAAGCATGCACCTGTTTTAGAAAATCTTACAATCGCATCACCACACCTGGAATAACACTGTGATGGTTGATTTTCAGCCACCCAGTATACAGTTTAATAAGTGTACCGGAGAGCCTGAAGTGACAATTTTATTACTACTTGCGTAACATTTATGCATTTTTAGATGCTTCACAGACTTATAACTTCCTTTCCCCCAGAAAACTGGACACAACTGCATAAAGCGTCCTTATTAGCAAAACCCGGCGTAATAAAGCGGATGTCCACAGCATTCACCCCAGGTTTATCAAAGACAGTTATTGTACAGAATAAATAAACAAAACCTCCACATTATTTGGCAAAAAGAAAATATCCTTTTGAATGCCGCGTTTGAATTGAAGATAGTAAACATTTCCTTGTTCTCAAAACCCTCCAGAGGTTACCAATGTACTAAAGGAACACGCCCCTACGCTGCGTGCTAACAAGGCCAGTTTACCAGTGCATGCAATTTATACAGAAGACATCCCATAGAAGCGCTTCTTAAATGCGGCTAACTTTTTAAAATACGCATATCCCTTCTCAGCCCACAGTGCTTTTAATCACTCAAAAATCCACACAAATAGCCCTATACCTTAAATATTTAATTGCAGTTAAATCCTACTCTAAACATATAGTCGTGGTGTACAGGTGTGGGATTTTTAACGTATTGAACATAATAAATCCGAGCCACTCATCTGGGCGAGATGGATCAAGTTGTTGGGCGAGATGTATCAAGTGGTTAGAGCACGAATTTACTGATCGGAGGGTCGGTGGTTCGAAACCCACATCTGCCTCTCGACTTCCCCTGTCTAGGCTTGGGCAACCTGGTAGTATCCCAGCCCTCGTGCTTCCTCCGGATGGCACGTTAGCTAGGCACTGAAAGGGTGTTACAGCTGAACGATTATTAATTATTATATTATATCTGTTTACCATGCAGTTGACGGGTCCTGAGGAGGCCCAACTAGGTGGCCGATTCAGCGTTGGCGCACATTGAATGGATAATTCGGAATGACTTCTTTATTTGGTAGCCACCCGTTATTTCTGGACAACACAGTTCCCCACACCGTGATACCTGAATGTAACTATCCGCAAACAAGCCGTGGACTCAAATGGACCATGTGGAAACCATTTACCTGTGTGGAGTTCTAAAACAAGATTACCGCTGAATTTGAATCACGGCCTTGTTTGAGCGTGTGCATCTATTTATATCACCCATAAAATGTGTTAGGTTATGGAAATGTATGGGAGGTTCACCTAAAAATAACCGCCATAGCTAAATATTATCAAACTGCGTTATCTAAGAAACTCCCGTAGTTCGATTAGATTATTGGCAATTTGTTGACCATAGAAGGTCAAAACAGCAAATAAGCATAGCTTTCACAATCATCTACCGGATTTTCTGCGCGCATTCCTAAGGAAACGGAGTCCTCTTGTGGTTAACCACTTTGCTTGGAGCCATAAAAACTACACTTTAAAAAAGTCGACTTTGATAATGCGCATAGAGCCTTCAAACGCCAAATAATATATAAAGCCGAACGATAGACCGATGACATAAGTGTACGAAAATGCAGGTTGCGGCAATGCGCAGATCAAACGTTTGATGAGGTATTGATGTTAGTGAAAGGGCCTTGACAACAGATAGGACCCCCAACAATTCAGAAAACTGTCTTGAATGACTGGCTAAACATTGTGAGGAACGATTCATCTAAAACTCATTCGCTGACCCCCTAGAAGGACCAGCGAAAACAAAGTGGGACGGTTAAATTGGTCTAGCAACTTCAACATAAGCTCAGCTTATAATTTCTAGGCCTCAGCGAAAAAAGCATCGAAACCAGACTGATTAAAATCTGTACTCATTGATGAGGATATCGACTTTGGCGTGGCTGCCACAACGACTCTAATCCAAAATGTCTGGAATACGCAGTAGGAATCCGAAATAACGGAGCACTTATATGGTAAGTCTTATATCTATCTAGTGCAAGAGTAGCATGCAGAAATTGTAGTGGCATTGGACTGGAGGCTTTAGCTTCTAAGATGTTCCCTGGTGTTATCCTTCGCCGATTGATATGTCAACGAGTGAAAGATTCGGGGAGATCGATCTGGGTTTTGCCCTAGCTACGGTTGCGTCGATCATGTCTTCATCATGCGACATGTCTTGGAACAGTTTTACTCTCCTCAACGATCAAAACATGTGTTGTTGTTCTTTCGAAATCTGCATTTGACCCCTGTAATAGTCAGAAGCTCTCTGATCATCATCATCATCATTGTCAGCTGTAATAACTGCGTACTCGTCGTACAGTGGTTGTAGCTGCCGCAGTTTCGTTCAGCGATGATTAGGAGGCGGGGTAGGTAGCTGCGCATTGCACGCGCAAGCTGGTAAATTGGTGCATAAATCCAGCACTGTCAGTGGGCTGTCAAGTAGTGAGGGGGTTGGGAAAGGAGCGCTGCATTGAAGGCAATAGCTTTGATGCACGAGCGCCATTGGGGGCGCAAGTGGGCCATGTCTGATAATGTCTCTAGCCATTGATGTGGCCCGTCTCGGGGTCCCCATTCAGGAAGACGGCAGTGACCAGTGCAGCTGAGTTTGCTGGTAATGGCTTTCACACTTCGCTGCCAAGTCAGTGTTTGACCGCCTCTGGCTCTCTTCCACCCTTCACGTGGTTGGGCGAAAAGAGCCCTTCGATGAAGTCGGTTGACCGGCATAAGTAGCACGTGGCCGAGCCAGCACAACCTGTGCAGTGTGATCAGTTCATCTATCTAGGGTGAGTTATTTCACCCGAATACCATTCGACGTACTTC